AAGTGATCCAAACCTCTTCCAGGTGCTCCAAACCCCCTTTTGTATGATTCGTTCCTTTGACACCTGATCCGTTCCTTTGTCAGACGATCCATTCCTTTCTTAGATGATCCGTTCCTTTGGCACATGCTCCATGATCCCCAAGTGCTCCATTTAGTTCCAAGTGCTCCAAATGCTCCATGAACCTTATCCAAATGCTCGAGTGACATTTAACAGATCCATTATGTGGTCATGTTAACCATAAGAGTCATTAAGCTCTATATATAGGCTAAAACAAGTATTAAGAACTTGTATATTTGTATGAATAGGCCTAAGAGCAAAGAAGATGGATCAAGATGCATCAATTGAAGAATTAAGCCAAGAGTAATTAGTCTTCACTAACTAATAAGGTGAGTTCTAATTTTCACTCTCTTTCTTTAGATTATGTATGTTTATATATATATATATATATATATATATATATATATAATATATATATATATATATACACACATATATTTTGGATCTTGGGGCACTAAGTGAAAGTTCCCAAGTAACGAGATGAAGATAAATGATGGTTATACGTGTACGAACATGTATCAGAGCATGTACATATAATTAGAGTATGTATAGAGTATATGTTAGAAACATGTAGCATGACATGTAAGTATACCTAGAGTATGTATGAATAGAAAATGATAAATATATACGTTGATACATAAGAGATGGTAGATAGAGATAGAGTATAATTATATGTAGTATAATCATAAGTGTGTGTATGTATGCTAGACATGTATGGTATTATGTAGAATACTTGTTAATAAACATAAATATAGATTAAGTACTTAATGAGTTAAGTACTAGATGTATAGTAGAAGATCTCTTAATGAGATAAAGAGATAGAATGTCCATGGGATAAGTATTATGTGACGAGTCACATAATAAATATAAAGAATAGTAGACAGATGATTTATTCGAGAATAAGATAGAGGTTCTTTCGGGGACAATAATATGGTTCATTCGGGAATAAGAGTATGATTCCTTCGGGAATAAGAGTGTGATTCCTTCGGGAATAAGAGTATGATTCCTTTATGAATGAGATTTTGTCCATGTGGGAAACAGAGATGATGATTATTTGGGGATGTAGGTAGATGGTTCCTGCGAGAATCCAGATTGTATATGATTAGAGAATATAGAGAAAAGGTTCCTTGAGATGAACAAGATAAGAGAGTTATTTGTAAGAACTTAGAGGTAATCCATGGGGGGGGTTAAGAGTAAGGAACCCATGAATGGATTTGTAACATCCCAAAAATAGTGATAATATTTTTCATTTTTGAAATCATAAAAACCATACATCATATGTATCAAAACCATCATAATACAAATGTATCAAAAACATGAGAGTAAAATGATCATCAATGCGGAACTCATAAGGGGATGATATGCGATCACATCGGACCCTTCCCTTTCGAACTAGAAGTACCTGAAAAAGAGTCAAACCACAAAACTGTAAGCATAAAGCTTAGTGAATTCCTTAAAATACCACATACCATACAAACATTGCCATGGGATACCCCCATGGTCTTGCATACAAGTGCATGGACTACCCTTATGGTCTTTCATACCATTGCCATGGGTTACCCCCATGGTCTTCCTTTGCAGTGCCTTAGCTACCCCAAGGTCTTACACACAAATGTCATGGGCTACCCCCATGGTCTTTCATACAAATGACACGGGCTACCCTCGAGGTCTTCCATGCAAGTATCACAAAGACAACTAACATCCTACATAACACAATCCAGTGGGTCGACATTGGTGCCTTCGACCCATAAGTACGGTGAAAAGACTCACCTCTCAGACGATAATCAACTATTACTTTTCTCACTGCCGAAAATATAGATGCTATACACCACCTATACAGTTATACAAGGTAAACCCTTAGCCCACCTTTCCAAACTAGGAGTTTGACCAAAAGTCAACTAAAGTAAAAAAGTCAATGGTCAAAGTTGACTTCAGTCGACTGCCACGTCATGGCCCACACACGACAAAACAGACGATGATTCCCTATTCTTCACGTTGTGGCAACCTAGGGCCACACCATAGGTACTAGGTTGTTTACAGCTTGATGGGTTAAGTCGTTTCCTTCGATCCTAAAAGCTCCAAAGCTCATATTTGGTCATTTCTATGGTCTAAATGGATAAAGTTTCCAACTTTATCCCTTAAGACCCTCTAAGAGATCAATATCTCAAACCCTAGGTCCAATAAAAGCAAAACATGACATGGACTTAACCATTAAGCACTTAATATCTAAAGTTCTTAGTCCATTAACTCCAAGAGAGTTTCCAACACCAAAACTAACCTAAAAGTTGGTGCTTTATAGACATGCATGTCTTGAACTCACATTAGGTTAAAATGAGGATTATGACAAAAAATCCCATGCATGGCTCAAAATCCAACCATACTTCAGATCCAAACCATCAACCACTCCAAATGTCCCAAGGATTCATAAAGTTGCAACCTTTATGGGATCTCACCATCCCAACAAACAAGAAGAACATGAATATGAGACAAAACTAAAGATCTAGCAACCTAACAACATAAAGGTGGAGTCTTGGACACTTACAAAGGTCCATAAGTGTGCTAAGATGAGGGATGTAAACTTGCTTGCTGGATCTTGGCTCACTTCTTCTTCCTTCTTCCTACAAGGTCTTCCAAAAGCACCAAATGGGCTTCAACAATGGAGGAAATTGATCGGGTTTTCTTCAGAGCTTAAAATGGTGATGGAGGTTGAGTATGAGCAAACCCTAGCCTCCTTATTCATTTAAATAGGGTGAAAAACCCAAAATATTAGGGTTTAAATCTCCAACAGCGACCACACCGTGGCCTATAACCTGCCACGTCGTGGCGGGTTAAAAGAAGTTAACGTCCAAAGATGCCTCGCCACGTCGTGGTGATATTCCACCGCGTCGTGGCAACTAACTATGAATATAAAAATGTACCTCAAGATTCAGATGTTATAGGATTCAAGAGAATAAGCATGATTAAGGGTCCACGAGGGCTCATTAGAGAATAAAGTAAGTACGGATGAGTATACCTAAAAATGTAGTGAGATGTTGTTTCCCTTAGATGATAGAGAGGATTGTTGTAAGAGAAAGGACCGTTGGGTCTATATGAGAATAGATGCTGAGGCATTAGAGTTGAGAATAGAATGATGGAGAGTAAGAAGAGCATGAGACGAGCATGCTAAAAGTAAGAGATATGTTAAGAGCAAAGTAAGATTATAAAAAAAAGCATGCATAGAGTATGAGAAGAACATACAAAGTATGGGAAAGATAAGAGATATGGAAAAAAGAATATTAAGAGAGAGATAAAGAAGAGAATATAAAGTATGAGTAGAGTATGATATGAGTATGAGAAGAGACTAAGAAAAGAATATGAGAAAAAAAGTGGACGACAGGGAAAGAAACAGATGAAACAAGAAAGAGTAGAAGCAAAAATTAGAGAAGAGTAGAAGAGATAGATGAAAGAAGAAAGAATAGCAGTGTATATTATTAGATAAAGAGTTAGATTGCAGAGTAAGAGAAAGAAGAGAAAGAAAGAAAGAGTACATGGACATGAAAACAAATAAAAATATAACTTACGAGCATGTGGTCTGATGTTGTAGAGATTTTCATGTTTTGCATGTGTAGGTAGCAGTCGTGGTACGTAAGAAGACAAAAGCACAATGACTTAGAATAGATTTAATTTCCTCGCTGTTTCAATTTGTATGTAAGATTCTATTGTAAACTCGTGATTAAACCTATGATTTAAAGTTTTTTAATTTTAGTAGAATTTGCATTGTAGATAGCACTCTGATAATTGCCTTAGATAATTGTATATAAAATATGGGTCATTACAGAGGTGATGTATACTTGTATCATATTGCATAATATGATTCTCGAAGATGAAGAAAATGCAATATGTGAGTATAATGAAAAGGAGATCGTTCCACCGACACAAACATTTGAGGTTGGAAGTGATGAGTACTTGACAATGAGAGCAATAATAAATGATGTTGAGCCCCATCATGTTATTCGTAGAGACTTGACGAAACATATTTTGACTGTTGCCACATCAATCTTAATGCAGTACCGGTCGATGATTTAGACGACCAATTTTCCGATGAATATGTCCTTTAGGCCTATCTATATTTTGTATTTTAATTTCTAGGTTTCGTAATTTTATTTTCCATGTTCTGTATTTTTAAATTCTATGTTGTTTGTTTTTTATAGGTTTGTTGTAATTTCCTTTAAAGTTTAATGAAATTTTAGTTTTAAAATAATCTGTTTAAATTCATTATTTTTAATATAATTTAATTTTAGAAAAATTAAATAACATATCAAACATGACAACCTATGGTCTCTAAATTACAAACTTTCGTAGCAACATGACAAATTATATCTGGCACTTACGTGGATTGTGAGAAGTGTGACACCACTCTCTAGCATAATAATGCATGAACATGATCTCTCTAGCCTAATGCATGAACACGATGCACATGCTTTGCGGTCATTTCTTAATAATTGAAAAAATATAGTTTTTGGGATAGATGTTCTAGAAATATTGTCTGGCTTTATGAATAACTTTATGACTTACCATAAATGGTCATAATCGGATAAAAGTTGATAAATTTTTATTTTTATTTATTCATGTTTTTATAAATATGAAAATCATGTTTAACGGTTCATGAGGAAACGTGGAATCAAATCAGCTTTAAGTCGACAACAAACTTGCTTAAACCAAAATAGTTTCTCGGTGGTGTATTTTTCAATTGTTAAATACCCGATTGAGTCTTATGTCGACCCGGATGGATATCTTCTGGAAGAAAACCTAGTTAATCCATTCATTAAAAGTGGACTGGCTTCTAGAAGCCCATTATCAGATCACCATAACACGCAAACTACGTAGGCCTATACGTAAAGCCCATAGAGCCCACGCGCATCTTGCCCCATTCTATAAATACCATTTCTTCATCTAGGGTTTTTGAAGAAGACTCGACGCAGCAGCAAACAACCAGAATTTCGCCATGGGAAGAAGTAAGTCTTTCAATCTTCTATGTTGTAATTGTTACCACAGTTAATTATCGTCGAGTTGATTCGAAAAGAAATTTATACGATTAGGAATCGTATCCCTTCATCAGATGCAACTGTTGTGTAACATCGTTTATGCGTAATGTTTCTTCTTTGAATAAATCATGACTAGTTAGGTTATGAATTGTTTGAAGTTGTTCTATTTCGAGTTTTTGATGGTGTTTTGCATTTGTTTATCGGTAGTCGAACTCTAAGGAGATCTGTGCGATAGTTAGTTGGATAAATACCTCTCTTTTCCCGATTCTAGCATTCGTTTATGAAATTGATTTGTATTGTACTCGAATTATTCCGAGCTGTTACATGACTCGTTCGTTTAATCGCCTTGTTGAAATGGCGGAAATAAACTGATGGATGTTTGAATCTAATTTGATGCAATCGAAAATCTGCAATTGTATTCCACCGGAAATTTTTTGATGTAATACTTGTTCTATGGTGCAGGACCGGCTAGATGTTACCGACAGATCAAGAACAAGCCATATCCCAAATCTCGTTACTGTAGAGGTGTGCCTGATCCCAAGATTAGGATCTACGATGTTGGAATGAAGAAGAAAGGAGTCGATGAGTTCCCCTTTTGCGTACACTTGGTCAGTTGGGAGAAAGAGAATGTCTCCAGTGAGGCACTTGAAGCAGCACGTATTGCCTGCAACAAGTACATGACAAAGTTTGCAGGAAAGGATGCTTTCCACTTGAGGGTTAGGGTTCATCCTTTCCATGTTCTTCGTATCAACAAGATGCTTTCATGTGCTGGAGCTGATAGGCTTCAGACTGGTATGAGAGGTGCCTTTGGAAAACCACAGGGAGTTTGTGCCCGTGTAAGCATTGGTCAAGTTCTTCTATCTGTTAGATGCAAAGATGGTAACAGTCAGCATGCTCAAGAGGCTCTTCGTAGGGCTAAATTCAAGTTCCCTGGTCGCCAAAAGATTATTGTCAGCAGGAAATGGTATGAATATGATTTTTAGCTACTCTTTTATTTTTTTTAAAGTTATCTAATGCTTCATTTTTTGTTTATAATGTTATTGTGATGGTGATTGCAGGGGATTTACTAAGTTCAGTCGTACTGACTATGTTCAGTGGAAATCTGAGAACCGAATCATGTCTGATGGTGTTAATGCTAAGGTATTGCTTTCTTTTTCATCTCTTTCTGTTTTTTGTCTATATTATCTAATATGAGGAACGTTTTGATTGTAATGATGATGATGATGCAGCTTCTTGGATGCCATGGGCCTCTTGCAAATCGTCAACCTGGAAGAGCTTTCTTAGACGCAGTTGCATAAATTTTATCCCAGGAAGAAATAACCCTTTTTCTTGTTTTGCTAAAATGACATTTTATAATCGTGTTTTGTTTTTCCCTTGTGTTTGGGCTACTGCAATGCACTGAAAGGAATTCTTGCTACTTGAACTCGAATGCACGGTGGTTTGATTTATGTAGTCTTTCTTCTGGATGTTTGTTTGTGTGTGATTTTTTTACTGTTTCTTTGAAGGCTTAAGTATTTATAACAAATAGTATGAAAAAAAGGTTGTGCTAATTTTTTCGTTATGTAATGAAGTTATCTATTTGTAGGATATTTTGTTTCATAAATTAGTAACAAACCAAGAATTACTCAATTTTAAGTTTCACATATCATAAAAAAACTAAAAACGAACAAATATGTTTGAAAGGTAATGTAAGTTACAACGAGCAAACATGTTTTCTAATATTTTTATTAGTAATATGTATTTAAAATACTTTTATAGAACTATCAACATTCAACAGCCCTCAGGTGGCCATTGTAAGTAAGGGTTATGCTTTTAAAAGGCAGAGTAAAGATGAGATAAAAAAACAAAAAAACACAACGATTTACAAAAAACACAACGATTTACTGGACAATCTGCAAGTCTATACAAAAAAACAAAAAAAACACAACGATTTACATAGTTCATATTCCATACAAAAAACACAACGATTTACTGGACAATCTGCAAGTCTATACAAAAAAACAAAAAAAACACAACGATTTACATAGTTCATATTCCATACAAAAAACACAACGATTTACTGGACAATCTGCAAGTCTATACAAAAACCTTTCATCTCTAAGGACAAATCCTCCTAGCGTGTCATCTCATTAAAAGTACAATGGTTACATCTAATGCTAGTTTTTAAAAGTTTCTTTACCCAAAAAGCCCAAAAATCACCGGATGAACTCTGTTTTTTATCTTGTCTTTCCATTCAACTCCTTAGAGTTGGTTCAAAGCCGATTGAACTTCATCATATGAGAATGATTCTCTACCAAAAACAATGTTTCTTTGATATGTACATAACTCTTTGGTATAGAAGCCTGACCCCATCCTCTAATTTCACATCAATATTTTCAAGATCAAGGATAAGCTTATTGAAGGCATGACATCAATTAATTATTAAGATGCTTATCCTCACTCATTTTGAATGAGTGCAAGGCTTACTTCAGATACAACCAATCGACAAGAGATTTTGTCTTTGGTACTACAGTCTGCAAAAGCCATTATCATCCACATTCACCAATCACCACACCACTTGTTGGATTTTATACCTACAGCTACAGGCTTCCAGACAATCTGCAAGTCTATACAAAAACCTTTCCTAGCCTAGCCTTGGATATAATGACAATTAGCACTAAACAATCACAGGGTCAGTATCAATTCAAGATTTGAATCACAAAGTTAACTCATCCTCCCTCCTTACTTTCACTAACTTTCAATCTACTTGTTGTATAGGAAAATTGCAATTCATACTATAGAACTAATCAATTTCAAGATCAAGTTGATTCCAGAACAGTTCATGACCAATCAATTTCTCTTGTGAACAGTTGACTCAACTCTCAAATCATAGCTGTGACTTGAAGATATATATGTTCCTGGATCTGTTTGATTACCTCAATTCATCTACAACATAATACGCTCCATCTGAGAGAGAGAAAGAAACACATCAATACCCGTACAGGTGTTTTAGATCATGTGTTAGTAAGTTTTCAGTTTTTGTTTATAATCTTTTCTTGATCGGTTCATGTTAAGATGTTCACAAGAGTAATCGATTTACAGTCCTGATTTGTGAAATGTTTTTGAACCAATTTGATCCTGAGATTTGTTACTTCTTTGATTCTTCCATATTAATGTAGTTATAATAGTTTGATATTTACATATAACAATTTTAAAATCAGTTGTAACAATTGCTAAAAAAATCACAAACAATAGTATTACCAAACTAGCAAAAATGAAATGGCCAAAAGAAGCAGCACTTATATTGTATTGTACTAAAAATGACCTGGGTACGTAGATTATTTAGTATCAACAAGGAGTCAAATGGTTAAACTAACCTATCTATGCATTTGAGAACAAAAAACTAATGTGTTTGAGAGCAAATCGGAATGTAAAAATAAAATATGAGGAACAACCCCATTATCAAGCATTTCATAATGCAGCAAAACTGCAGAAGCATTGTAACCAAAAGAAAGACATTTTCTTTTAGAAATTCTAGCAAACAAACAGTAGACAGATACTTGTATTTGTATGAGCCACTCCAGAACCAACAAGTTTGGTACCCAAATTGATGTGGTACTGTTATCCTAGAGCAATTGAGCAAAGATGTGAGTGAAGCTGTTGGATTTCTCTTCGAGCAATTTAATTAACTAAGAAACTGAAGTTGCAATGTTTAATCACACATCAGGGCATAAGCGAAAACATACTAATTTAGCTTTATACAACAATACCTGGTGCACATGAAGATGAACCAAGGAACTGGAGATAGGACGGAATCACATCAGCGCATACACAATCAATAAAGCTTCGAAGATCAATTGCAGGTATATGGCTTCCCGAAATCCACCAATGGCCTCTCCGGTTGTCGACCGCCGGTGAAATTACAGTGCAGATATCCACAAAAGAAATTAGGGTTTTGGCGAAGACGATTTCGGGTAGAAAAAAATTTGGACCATTTCTCGATTTGTGCGTGTCATCCTTGCGCAGGGGCATGCTAATCTTCTCTGTATCGTTCCAATTTTATCGGATGTCCCCGAAGGGACGATGATAGATACACAATCAACATCCCTCATATCTAATCCATCCGAAGTATACATTACCAACACATACAATGGTATGAAAATACCACCAAAAGCATAAAAAATAAAGTATATGGTGATATAAAATATATCACTTATTAAAATTCTCATATCATCATTTGAAATATTAAAAACAAACAAATATCAGCAATCATTCAGGTACCCAAGAGACGCAAATATTTATTCAGCAGATATATTGAAATGGAAGCAATCATGAAGCAAATCAAACACCAGTTCAAACAAAAAGAGGAGCAAGAAGCATCATTAATCAGACAACTTGAAGTAGTCAGACGTGAAAAAGAACAACTACAACAAACATTACAAATTTTATCATCCCATTCAATACCTAAAGAAGAAGCAGCTAGTAGTTCAACAACGAAGCAACCAAAAGAAGAAATTCAAGAAATATCATGCAATGATAGTCAGCCACAAATAATACTCAAAACAGAAAAAACAACCTATGACGCCAAACTAGGAAGAATATCCACCACTTCAAGCCGATCATAAAAAACATAAAGAAATGGTATGTGATTTTCAATGGAGAAAACAAAGGAATCTACGACGATTGGGGAATTGCCAATTCATATATTCTTGGAAAAAACGTCATTCACAAAAGTTACAAAACAAAAAATGAAGCAGAAGCCGCATACAACGAAGCATACACAGCAGTCATAAAAGATAATGTCGAATGTTCGAAAACAGTTCTCCTTACACCACAAAAACCCATATCCAGCTTTACCCCACAAAAACCTGTATCCATCCCAAAATCCCTTAACCAACTAAACGCAAAAATTGCCCTTGAAGCCATTCCATCAACTAAAGAAAAAGAAGCTATGAAAAAACCATCTGCTCAAAAATTTTCCAGATTATGGGACAACCTCATTAAATACACCGAAGTCCATTCTTTAATGGGCTTTTACCCAGTAGTCAGGCGACCAGGCCCAAAAGCAGTATTCCTAGTAGATCTCACTGACCCCATGACTTTATGAGACTATTTCAGCCATGGATTCATAGAAACTATCTATCTTGATGGAACAAATTTACATTGCATCAGCGAATTCCCATCAGCTGTTCAAACAGTAATCAGAAGCTACAAAACACGATTTGCAAAACAAGAAAGAGGGTTATTTATCAAGATGCATTCAAGTTACCCAATTTTTAATGAAGATTCTCAATTACTTGTTCCAAGCATTACTTTCGCAAATATGGGGATAAACAACGGCTCAAAACCAACAAGAGATGACCTACCCCATGAAATACCTACACAAGACCATTTGATTTTCGCACTTGCCGTGTCTATTTAGCATCATCTCGCGTAGGCAATGGTAAAGATCAAAAGTCAAGAATCAGAGTAAATTATGCCAGTAAAACCTTCGTTATCTATTCTCTAAAGACAGTGAAATAACCCCGGAAGCATTAAAAGCAATTGAAACTTTCGAACAGCCGTTTGAAAAATTTTCACATCACTTAGCTGAATTACCCGCTGATTTAAAAAAACAGCTTTGTAAACATATCATGCATGCACCACGACATAATTGCAGCCATTGTAAAGACAATATGGAAGAAACACCGTTCATGGAAGACTAACGTCAGCAATGAACAAAGCACACATCATTCAGAAATATCTGTCCTTTCGGTGGCGGGAGGAATGACGAAATGACGAAAGCAATGACATATTAAAAACATTATTAAAGACACGCGTCCTTTCATTGTGGAAGGAATTGTAATTATTTGTCATTTGTCATTTATAATTATTATTGTCAATGTAATATAAAGTAGTGTAAGTGTCGGTAGAATAAAGTATAAGACCCTCAATAGTCTAGGGGGCTATATTGTAAATATATATGTCGTATTGCAATCAAACAATTGCAACTCAATTTATGTAACCGGCTCTCTCGAGCCTATAAATAGGGCCTTTGCCCATATGAAATAAACAAGTTAAGTTTGAGTGTCTAAGACTTGAGTTGATCTCAAAGTTCTTCCTCTGTTGAAATAGTTGTTCTATTTATGAATAGCAGAGCCCTATCCAAACATACCTAAGATTATTCATATAATCATTCATACAATTTAAACAATTCATCATCAATCCATCCCGACGCATCATTCAGGTATAATCTTATCATAATCTTTTTATTAATTCCGTCATGTCGTTAATTTTGGTATCAGAGCTAAGTATCGTTCTTATTGTGAATATTCATCTTTTTATAAATATATGTTCATCATGCATCATCATATATATTACTATGAATATTCATCGTTACAAACATTCATCGTTATAAGTTATCATCATAAACTCATTATTAAAATCAAATACTACTATCCACCTACAATTTAAACATATGTCGTCAGAAGGTTTTTTACAATTATTACTATGTACCAAGAAGTTAGAAACACATTTCATATGTCAAAAAAGTTTTTAATTCTTTGTATGAAAAACTGTAAGTATCATAAATATAATAGTAATAACAAACCCCACCATCAACATCTTATTAGAATTTATAAATTGTAACTTTGAAAGAAAAAATAAATTATCATTTTGTTTCTAAAAATTATAATCATGAGTTTTTCAAGTTTAAATATTATTAAACAAGAATTAAAGTTTTTTCGTAAAACATTGAAACAATCTAAAAAATTTCTTTTAAATTTAAAAATAGATTCTAACATATCAATAATTAATTGTATATCCAATATTGAAGCAATACATATAATAAGTAATAGTATAAATTGGAAACAAGAAAAAAAATTAAAAAATCTAGAAGATAAAATAACAAAACTAATCTGTTAAATATGTCTTAAGAAATAGAAAATTCACCAATCATTATTAATAACGAAGAAAATGAATCTGGATACACTTCTGATGCTTTAATTAATAAAAATAATATTAATAAAGATGCTATAAAAAAATCAAATTTTACACTATCAGAAAAACATAATTTTAGAAATAACCCATTAAAAAATTTCTTTTCTAGAAAAAAAATTATATATTATGGAAAAATTATAGGAGAATAACCAATACCTATAGAATCAACTCAAGGAAATATTATTATACCCATAATAAATATACAACAAATTAGAAATAGGTTATCTAATATTAAAGAAGTAGACAGAATAAAAATTGCTTATATTCATATATCAACTATTCAAGTAATTTTAAAAAGTACTTTTAGCGATTTAGATACACCAATAGAATTAGAAATCAGAGATGATTGTATAATTAATAATCAAGAAAGTATTATTGCAAAAGGAAAAGGTAATTTAATTGAAGGAAAAATAAAATTTAATATTAATATTCAACTAGGATTAAGTCTTAAAGATAAAAATCTAAGTAATAGTATTACTGTACGATATAAATTATTAAGACAAAATTTTATGTTAAAAGGTAATCATCCGTTTACTATTACATATCAAATAAATTATGCATTAACAAATTCTCATCATAGTATTACATTTAAAACAGAAGATAGAATTTATATAGATAAATTATTTACCCCTTTATTATCACTTGAATCACCAAATATGACTAATAACATAATATTTAATGAAACTAATTTTCAACAAATAATAACTACTCCATTAATAAAAAGAAACTAAAAGATTTGTTTTCAAAAAATTAGTACCAACAAACCTTATTAATATGGAAACTTTACAAGAAAAAGTAGAAACACTAACTAAATTATTCGCAGAACTAGAAATTTCATCCGAAATTCAAGAAAATAATACAGAAATAAAAAATAATTCGGATAATAACGATGCAGAGGTAATATATGATTTTTCATCCGATGATGAAAACCCTTATTCAAATCTATATAAAGAATCACAAAATAATTTTGGATTAAAACGAAAACAATCGTATGTTGAAGATGATTATCAAAATCAATATATTTATGGACCACCTTCATTAGAGGAAATTTTTTTATATAGACAAGGAATGGTTAAAAATAAACAAAACAAATGGGAAAAAATACATCCACAATACATACCCAAATTATTTACTTTTCCAACAAATTCAGATATTCTTTTTATTGATTGTGAACAAAATCCCGAAGCAAAAATTCAAGAATGGAGTAATAAAATGGGAATTCAAATTCAATTAACTGAAGAGTTAAGAAATCTACATCCAAAAAATTTTCTTAATTATATTATACATAAAACACAAGGTAATGCATATCGTTTCCTTTCATCTCTCGATGAAACAGAAACAATGATGATAGTTACCACTGACGCTATGAAAACATTTAAAAATGTATTAAATCGGCTTATTCAAGAATTCATAGGAAAACAAATAGAAGATAAAACATCCCAGGAAGCCTTTCAATTAGAATCATTATGACATTTAACTAACCTACGAATTTGTAACATGTGTTATCTAGACCCATTTATATGTGAATATTCTGAACATTATTATAATCTAGATTTCACTAGAAAAAGATAGCATTAGACATGTTTTACCAAAAATTACCATCATTAGTAAGTCAAAGTGTAATAAAAGATTTCCAAGAAGCATTACAACAAAATAAAATTGCAGATACTTTAGGAGCACAAATAAGTATATTAAAAGCATGGATGCAGAAAAAATGTTTAGAACAAAAAAACAACACAAGATGCAAAAATTGATTTATGTTGTGATACCCTTTCTAATAAAGTTAATCAATAATAATTATAAAAGACAAATGACAAATAATTACAATTCAACAAACCAAGGAACTGGAGATGGGACGGAATCACATCAGCGCATACACAATCAACAAAGCTTCGAAGATCAATTGCAGGTATATGGCTTCTCGAAATCCACCAATGGCCTCTCCGGTTGTCGACCGCCGGTGAAATTACAGTGCATATATCCACAAAAGAAATTAGGGTTTTGGCGAAGACGATTTCGGGCAGAAAAAAATTTGGACCATTTCTCGATTTGTG